CCAGATTAGGTTTTCTCCCTTTTATTCCATTAACACAGTAGACTTCCTTTATTTTTCTCATGCTCAAAGTCCTTTTCCTATTTCAGAGTTGAATGTTTTTTTTTCCCCTTCAGCTCTTGTCATCCTTTTCTTTAGCTACTAAAGTCCACCCAAATCCTCCTCCACAAATTAAATCTCTGGTCTTCATCATCACAATTCTGAAACCCTCCAAAATTCCTTCACACTTCTTTCTCCTTCTTTAGCTTAATTCTTCCTATGCCTCTCCTGTTCATTTCTCCATGCAACTTTCTTCTATAGAAGCCAAAATAAGAGGTTGGCAAGATCAAAATGAATTAATAAGCATTTATTGAGTTCCTATCGTATACAAGGGGGCAGCTAAGTGGTACAATGGTTAGAGTGCAGAGCCTGATGTCAGGAAGACCCCTTCCTGAGTTCAAATCTGGCCTCAGACACTTTCTAGCTGTGTGACCACGGGCAAGTCACTTAACTCTGTTTGCATCAGTTCCTCATCTGTAAAATAAGCTGGAGAAGGAAACAGCAAACTACTCCAGTATGTTTGCCAATAAAACCCCAAATGGAGTATGTACGTATGTGTATGTATGTTCATTGTTTAGTCCTTTCAGTCACGTTCAACTCTTCATGACCACTTTGGAAGGATCCATTGAAGGACCTCCATATGTTTAACCTGGAGAAGAGAAGACTCAAGAAGACTTGATAGTTGTCTTCAAGAAATTAAAGGTTATCATGTGGAAGAAGGATTAGACATGTTTAGTTTGGCCCCAGAGGGCAGAATAAACAGCAATGGAGGAAAGTTGTAGAATCAGATTTCAACTCACTTTCTAACCTTCAGAAGTAACATAGGCTGGAGATACTGGTTTCCCCTCCCCACCCCAACCCCCATGTCTCCAAACAGATACTAAAGGATTACTTCTCAGGGATATTATAGAGGAAACTCCTGCTGCAGTATGCATTGAATTTTAACACCTCCTCAGGTCTTTTCCAATTTTGAGATTCTTTAAAGTGTTTGTTACATGAGTTTTGAGGAGGGAAAAGAGGGTAGTTGGTTTAAGTTTGCTGGAAGAGATGGAATTTGAACTGCTTCTTAAAGGATGGGTAAAATTCAGAAAGGTAGAGGGGGAAAACATTCCAAGTGGAGGGAGATGGCTTGAGCAAAGGCCAATCTGGAATGAAGATCAATCATTCCATTTAATAAGATTATGGCTGTCTTTTGGTATGGTTTTTGTTTTTCTCTCTGCAGTCATTAAATAAGTTATTCTCTGCTTTACTTTGCATCAATTTATGCGTATCTTCCTATGTTTCTCTGAATTTCTCAGATTTATTATTTCTTATGGGATAATAATAATAGTTGGCATTTATAGATAGTATTTTAATATTTGCAGCGTGCCTTACAAATATTATCATATTTTGTCCTCACAACTACCCTGGGAGGTAGGTGCTATTATTATCCTCATTTTGAAGATAAAGAAACTAAGGCAGACAGACGTTAAGTGACTTGCCCAGGGTCATTGTTGGTCAGCCATTTCAATTGTGACCCCATGTAAGATTTCCTTGGCAAAAATACTGGAGTGATTTGCCATTTCTTTCTCCAGCTCATTTTAGAGATGAGGAAACTGAGGCAAATTGGGTTAAGTGACTTGTCCAGGATCACACAGCTAATACCTGTCTGAGCCCAGATTTGAATTCATGAAGATGAGTCTTATTGATTCCAAGCCCAGTACTCTATCCACTGCACCTCCCAGCTGCCCTGATTCCCTACTACCTCTAGGATAAAATACAAACTCCTTAAGCCAGTGTTTTAGACTTACCTCCAAACTATCTTTTGAGCTTTACCTCACTCAGTTCTTCTTCATTTGCCCTACATCCTAGCCAAATAAGATAACTGGCAGATCTCATCATGCCTTCTTTCACTTCCAGGCATGTGTACAGGTCATTGCCCGTGTCTAGAACGCTCTCTCATGACATCTTTGCCTGTTGAAATCCTTCTTTTACTTTTCAAGGTCCACCCCTGGTGCCATCTCTTTAAGGCAGGTTCTGTAAGTGCCCAGGTGAAAGTGATATCCTATCAGAGGATATGAACAGGCAGTTTTCAGATGAAGAAATTAAAGCTATCTATAATCATATGAAAAAATCATCTCAATCACTATTGATTAGAGAAATGCAAGTTGAAACTACCCTTAGGTACCACCTCACTCACACCTATCAGATTAGCTAATATGACAAAAAAGAAAATGACAAATGTTGGAGAAGGTGTGGGAAAATTGGAACATTAATGTGTTGTTGGTGGAGTTATGAACTGATCCAACCATTCTGGAGAGCAATTTGGAACTATGCACAAAAGGCTATAAAATTTTGCATACTCTTTAACCCAGTAATACCACTTTCTAGATCTGTATCCCAAAGTGATCATAAAAAGGGGAAAAGGACCCATATGTACAAAAAATATTTATCACAGCTCTTTTTGTGGTGGCCGAGAATTGGAAATTGAGGGGATGTCCATCAACTGGGGAATGGCTGAACAAGTTGTGGTATATGAATGTAATGGAATGCTGTTGTTCTATAAGAAATGATGAGCAGGTGGATTTCAGAAAAACCTGGAAAGACTGATATGACCTGACGCGGAGTAAAGTGAGCAGAACCAGGAAACATTGTATACAGTAACAGCAACACTATGCGATGACCAGCTCTGATAGACTTAGTTCTTCTCAGCAATATCTAAGATCTAAGACAATTCCAAAAGACTAAGATGGAAAATGCTATCCAGAAAAAGAATTATAGGGGGTGGTGCAGTACATAGAGCACTGGCCCTGGAGTCAGGTGGACCTGAGTTCAAATCTATCCTCAGACACTTGACACTAGCTATGTGACCCTGGGCAAATCACTTAACCCCAATTGCCTTGGAAAATAAACAAACAAAAAAGAACTATGGGGTCTGAATGCAGATCTAAGCATACTATTTTGTCTCTCTTTTTTTTGTTTCTCATGGTTTTTCACTTTTGTTCTGATTCTTTTACAACATGACTAATGTGGAAATATGTTTAATATGATTGTACACGTATAGCCTGTATCAGATTGCATGCCATCTTGGGGAAGGGGAAAGGCAGGGAGGGAGAAAAAAAATTTGGAACTCAAAATCTTATAAAAGTGAATGTTGAAAACTAAAAATAAAAATTAAATTTAAATTAAAAAAAAAAGAAAGTGATATCCTTCTGTTTTTTTTTTGTCTAGGCCCCAGCCCACCCTTTTTTGCCCTTATCCCACTCTATCTTGCAGGATACTCACTTGAGCAGGGACGTTTTTCATCTTTGTATTTCCAGCATCTAAACAAAGGAGAGAGAGAGAGAGAGAACCCAAAGGAGCATTTGAGCATTTATATTATGTGCTAGGCATTATGCTAAGTGCTGAGAATACAAATATAAACAAAAATCAATTCAGTGCTTGTCCTCAAGAAGTTTACATTCTTTTTTTTGAAAGCATAGTTTTTCACTTTCTTTTATTTCTTTTTTAAAAAGTTTTTTAATTTGTCTTAAACTTAAGTACAAAATAAGAAAAAAAAACATTGCCATGTACATAGCAGAACATAAGAGAAGGTTCAATATAAAGCAATAAATTTCCATTTCAAGAAAACCTATATAATCAATACTATACATTGTTTTCAAAGCTATACAGCTTTTCTTTGCTTCCTTGTAGGTTTTCTTTTGTTCTCTGCTGTATACTTTATATTTTATTTTTTTTCTGCTCCTCTACCCCCACCCCAAAAGAAGGCTGCAGTTAAGCACGGATATATAGATATAGATATAGATATAGATATAGATATATATAGATATAGATATAGATATAGATATGTGTGTGCATATGTGTATATGTATACACACATACCTAGATACATATACATATATACATATGTGTGTACATATATATGCATATATTGTACACATACATAGATATCTATAAACATACACATACATACACATATACATTCATACACATGGATGTAAGACCATACTGTGCTTATTTCTATTTGTCATCTGCTTCTCTGAAGGTGGAGAGCATCTTCCTTCAAAAATCCAAGTGTTTCCATGTTTTTCTAAATCAACCAGCTCATCATTTCCTATGCCACAGCAATAGTCCTACCCAATCTCATTCTATCTGAGAGATTGTCTATGAAAGTTTTTTTCCAATTTTATGCATTCCTTCTATTCTTGGCTGCATAGGTTTTATTTATGTAAGAAATTTTTAATTTAAAATAATCAGGAGCTTACATTCTAATGGGGAAAGACAACACATACAAGGGAACTGAGAAGGAGGGGAAGGAGGTACCTTTGTGGGGAAGATCTAGAAGGAGTCCTAGGAGTCATGGTATGAGTCAAGCTGGGAGAAAACCAATCTGGTCCAGGTACTTCCTCAAATGAAGGTTCAAGGGTGAACTCACCTCTCAGAAGAGCAGACTGTAGAGGTAGAGGCACTGCCCATATGAAGATGGCCAATGGGTTTCTAGAAGTTGGGCTAAATCAGGTTTAGAGGACATCGTGTGTGTGTGTGTGTGTGTGTGTGTGTGTGTGCGCGCATGTGGGTGTATGTATTGTCTAGACCTGTGATTTCATTGGTCTGAGGAATTCCAGGTGTGGAGATTCTCTACCAATGCATCTAACTTTTCTGCAGCTCGTTGTCCTAGAGAATTGTCTGGGGGCACCAAGAAGTTATGATTTGCCTAGTTACACAGCCAGGATGTGTCAGAGGCAAGTCTTGAACCCAGGTCTTCCTGAGATTGGCTCTATCTACTATTCCACACTGTCTGTCATTGTTAGTACCCAATAAATACTTGTAGAACTCAATTTATTTGTTGAATGATTGCCCCCATTTTATAGTTGTGCAAACTGAGCCTCAGGGAGGTTGTGATGGATGACGTGGCTAGAAAATGCTAAAGCTAGGACTTGACTTTAAGTGCTTTTTCTAAATATATCACATTGCCTTTCCTATAGAAAAATGCAAAAGAGGGCAAGCTCAAGTAACATGCCACAGTGACAGCCACCAAGCACCTGGATAAGGCACCAAGGATGAGAGGAGAGGATGGAAAGGAAGAGGTGAGAGGGCACTGAAGTGTGCCTTGCCTGTTGGACAGGGTTAGCAATTGTAGTCCTTTTTGAGGTTACAGTCCAACACTCATCACCAAGGTAAGGGCAGAAGGTGGGCATTTCCCTGGAATGAATATTCTGCACACTAGAATTGGGCCTTGGCAGGAACCAGCTTGATGCTGAAGTTCCAATCTATACAGACTTGAGACTAAAGCCCCTGTCACTATCCCAGGATGACCTAAACCTTTCCTGATATTCCATCAGATAGAAGAATTATATATATACAAGTGTATTAAGGAGGCTAAAAAAATAACCTTTTAATACCATGAGAGTTAATACAATCCTTTCTTTAAGGCATTTTCAGGTTCTCTGAGAAAGGAGCTCTGTTAATGAAAGACATTGGTAAAAACAAACGACAAAAAACAACTGACATTTTTATTCAGCTCTAAGATTTACAAAGCATTTTACACCACTTCTCTCAAATGTTCCTTAATAATCTTATGAAGAGGCAGCTAGGTGGCTCATCAGAAACAGTTCCGGCCTTGGAATCAGGAGGATCTGAGTTCAAATCTGGCCTCAGACACTTGACACTAACTAGCTGTGTGACCCTGGGCAAGTCACTTAACTCTGATTGCCTCACCTAAAAGTATAAATAAATAAATAAACAACCTCATGAGATAGGTAATACAAATCTTATTATCTCCTTCTCATTGATGAGAAAACTGAGGCCACCAAGTCCAGCCCACTCATTTTATAGATTAGGAAACTGAGGCTGAGAAAGATATGTTGCTACCTGAGATCGAATGTGGCTGAGATATGGCATTGAGAAGTTTTGTATTTTACAGCCTGTTTATGCTCGGACCCTGCAGTTATGGTGGAGGTTGAAAGACCTCTTTGGACACTGTCCAAGTCACAACTTCCCAAGCAGAACCTTAAAACTTGAATTTGGGGCTTACTTAAATTTCCCTAGAAGAACATCCTATTTGAAGCCATGATACCACTAAGGGGGGATGCCCCAGTATCAGTGCCTTCTTTTAGCCTACAAGGATCAGGAAAAGGTGAGGAGACTAAAGCAGAAAGTCTTGATCCCTAGATGGCCCAGAAGGTACAACCTATAACTTTAAATAGTCCTTGTTGAGAGGGAAAATTCAACTTACCCTCCCCCACACAACCCCCCACCATGCTCTACAGTGACTTCTAATGTTTCATTTTACATCACACATTTTTTTTTTACAAGGTGTGACTAAAGTGGCACAGTGGATAGACCTCTGGGCCTGAAGTTAGGAGGACTCATCTTCCCGAATTCAAATCCAGCCTGACACTTATTTGCTCTGTGACCTTGAGCAAATCACTTAACCCTATTTGCCTTAGCTCTTCCTCTATAAAATGAGCTGGAGAAGGAAATAGCAAACCACTCCAAGTATCTTTGTGAAGAAAACGTCAAATGGGGTCATGAAGAGTTGTTTCATGCCTGAAACAACTGAAAAACAACATCCTATAAGTATCTATGAGTGGTTATTAATGTAAATTCCTAAAACTTGAAAAGTCAGAAAGAGCTGGGGGTACAAAATTCAAGTTAGTGTAGTGGAAAGAGGGTTGAAGCTTGAGTCTGGAGACCTGAATTTGAATCCAAATCTGACACTTCCTCTCTATGAGTTATGGTTTCTTTACCCATAAAGTGAGGATACTACATATTTCAAAGGGTTGTTGAGAGAAAAGTGCTTCTTAAACTTTAAAGCAGAGGTTGTTATTACTGGATATAAACTTCTATCTGGTGAATAGACCCTCAAAGGAGAAAATAAATATAGAGACCTTTACAAACCTTAAAAGGCTATATAAATATTAGTTGTTACTATAATTCCATGCAGACACCCAAGAACACAGTCAGAGTCAATAAAGATTGTGTTGTGCCATTGTCCAACTAAAACAAAAAATTTATTTTGGAGGTTTCCAAGACTCATATTTGGTTAAGGAAATGTTGCTTTTAGGTTCAGTGGTTTCTTTTCTTTTTTAAAAAAGGAAATTTTATTGACAGCTTTTGTGTTTAGATCAGCTACATTTGCCACTTTATCCCTGCTCCATCTCTTCTCAAAGAACTATCCTTTATAATTAAAAAGAAAAAATGTAAGAAGAAAAAATTTTAGCAACGTTAACCAGCATGAACAAGATGGTGGGACCAGTGGCCAAGAAAGCCATGTTGGTGAAACTAAAGGATGGACATTTAAACAATTCCTTAGGATCTCCTGTACAAGCAGATGTGTACTTTCCAAGACTGATTGTATCATTCTGTAGGCATATGAAAGGTAGGATGGGGCCAGGCAAGAAGATCTTACTGATGGGGATTGTAAACCTCAACTCTGAGAGTTTGGGGATATTTGACATCTGGCAATTCCAAACACCCTCCTACAAGTGTGGCCATTGAGCGAAAAGCTCCATTTACAAATAAGAAGCTGATCAGAAATTCTTGTATATCTGGAGAAAGAGGTGAAGAACAATTAGCAAGTCCTTATTTTTCTTTCATCCCAGACTAGCCAATTAAGGTGGAAATTTTTTGTGAATGCCCATAATGTAGAATGTTTGTGGGCAGACAAGAGCATTTTGATTTTTACCATTGCATTGAAACATTATCCATAAGTGACCTGATAAAATCAGTGGAGACCTCCAGATCACTAAACTTGGCTGATCTTGGTCCCCAGATCATCCTTCCTGTTCCAAATGGGAGGAAATGCCACCCTCACTTGTCTGGAAGAGCAATCCTAAGAAAATACGGAGACTTACAACAAGCAAAAAAAGACAAACTTCCCAGTCTCTTCTCTGTGTGCAGTTTAAACCCAAAATGAGGAGTTGAACCATGGTTTACCTTCAGGTCTGCAAAAAAAAGTGCTAATAATAATAATGTAAACATGGTACACAAAAATGTTTTGTTTCCTGCAACTATTTTTCTGCTAGATTTGTGTAGCATAACCAATAACATCTTAGTCAGAGTATTTACATAGAATGTATGCTTTTTGCACAGCATAATATTAATACAATTTTTAAAGCTTTCTTGTAGTTTATTTACTTATGCTCAGTGTATGTATTAGAAAAATAAGCAACGTTATTGAGAACAACGAGTCATGAAGTTTTGAATGTACAAATGGCTTAGGTCTAGGGGATAAAGTAAATATTATTTTTGAAGCACATTAAAAAATTAACCAACATATTAGACAAATATAACGTTACATGCAGTATTCTATGCCCCTAGTCCTCTACTTCTACAAAGAAGCAAGATTTGTCTTCTTATACGTCTTCTTTGGGACCAAGCATGATTGTTTTGTAATTGTTCTTTCCATTTACATTGCTCTAATCAAGGTGTATATTGTTTTCTTGGACTTATTTACTTTGCTTTGCTGTTCATGTTAGACTTTCTGTGCTTTTCCTTATTCATCATATTCATCATCTCTTAACAGCACAGTGACATTTTGTGGAGGCATTCCTCAATAAATGGGCGTCTACTTTGTTTCCTGTTCTTTGATACCACAAAAAGTGGTATAAATGGTATGAATAAGTGTTATAAAAGCTATGAGGGCTTCTTTTAATTTTGTCATTGACCTTCTTGAGACATAAGCCTAGTAGATTATCTCCAGGTCAAAGGATATGGACGTTTTCATCACTCTGTATAATTTCAAAATCCTTTCTGGAATGTTTGGACCAATTCGCAGCTCCACCAACGATACATTAATATCTCCCTCCTTCCATGATCCCTTTAATGTTGACTAAACTGATTCTTCTAAAATGGCGTTTTCCTAATTTTTGAGCACATAAAGCCAGGACCACATTCTGAACCAAAAGCTTGCAAAACTAATTTTCAATGAGAACGTGTTTTCTCTCAAATGCAAAAATTTCAGATGAGTTGGTTGTTTTTACAGATGCTTAAATAACATTTGCAGCCATAGAGGAGAGGTCAGAGAAGACAGATAGTCAATCAGTGCATAATTGAGCTTATTGGGGAAGAGCCTCAGGGATTTTCTCCCAAATTGTCTACATTTAGAGCGTGCTCTTGGAGCAAGTTACCTAGTATTGTAGGAGCTTTGCTGTGGGGAGAATTAACAGGAATGTTAGCACTTTGCTGTTTGAGCACCCAGTCACAATTCTCAAATCAGAGAGAGTTGTTTAGGGTTTATTACTCACTTGGGGGCGTCAACATGGCATGCAACATACAGGTGGAGAAACTAAACTCAAGGGGCTTATATATCAAGATCTCTCATCTTATGTCATCAGCAAAGAGGGCATCAGGTTATAAGCAATAAAGCTGCAAATACCGTTGAATTGGGAACCCAGTAAGTCACACAGCTGATAATTGCTTTTAAAAAAAGTCAAGGGGACTGTTTCAGTTGGTCACTAGAGATAATGATATTCTCACTTTCTCCAGGTGCTTAAAATAGCAGTATAGTCCATGGTAACAGAGGGTTGTTGTTGTTGTTTTTTTTTAATATACCAGATGCATAGCAGCAGAGAAACTAGCTCTGTCTGCACATCTTTTTTCACCGAAAGACTTTGGTCGTGCCGACCTTGTATCTTTGGCCATTATTCAGTGATCTGGTCAATGGAATTAGACTATTGTAATTTTTTTGTTACAGGAAGAGAATGATTTCTCCCTTTTTGGTATATATATATGTGTGTGTGTGTGTGTGTGTGTGTGTATTATTTTCTGGTTTTGTTCTGTGTTTTTGTTTTTGTTATTTACTTGTTGGCAAAGAGAAGCTGTCTCTGAATTACCAACTGGCCATATTATTTTAAATGAAAACATAATGTCATATAATTCATCCCATGGGGGAATGACTCAACTTGGTCTCAGTGACCAGACAGCAATATGAATGGATTACTTCTAGCATTTAAAAAAATTGATTCATTTAGATCCATGTCACATATTGGTCCACTCTGATTCGGGGTAAGAGCCCCTAATTATGGACGATGGCCAGAGAGCCCTGCTGGTCCTCCCTGCCTCTAAGAATGCCCCTCTTCACCAGACACTGTCAATGGTTCTTTGCCCCTCCATCATCAATAGGACTTTGTAATCCATCCACTGAGGGTCATGCAGTAACTCATCAGCTGGGACTCTGCCAGCTGTTTGGTAAACAGACCGGATAGTGTCAACGTGAGTGAATGGTTCAGATGCTGGAATGTGAGCTCTGTTCCTGTGGGTACTGCCCACATTGCACAATGCTGCTTTTACTCAAAAAGGGCCAATACAAATCGCAACTGAGTACTAGAAGAAATGGGCGCTTAAGATAACGTTGGCTTCCCTGTCTTGTCATTCCTAACTCTTGCCTGTTATCCTGCAACTCTCAGATCAAAGCCAGGGGCATTCACAAGAAGCATAGGAAATATGTATAATACTGTAAAGATTCTGCCCTCTCCAGTGCCCTAAAGTACACAAGAAAGGAATCCGTAAATTGCATTGCTGATTAAGCCAGTAATTAGTGCCCAATCTATTTGATCTCTCTGCCTCACACACACACACACACACACACACACACACACACAACACACATACACACACGCACACACTCTCTCTCTCACTCTCTTTCTCTCTCTCTCTCTTTTTCAGAACCAGTTTAAACAAGCCAAGCATTCATTATTGTAAAGACAGCCATGGGGAACATAAAGAGAGTAGAGAGATTCTGTCACGTTGGATGGCCTCCTGCCATCTTTTTAGACTTCCCTCCTTTCTCTCCCTTTCTTTGTATATCAGTGGACTTGGTTACATTCTAATGTGGTATACTTCTTACAGCATTTCTTTATATACCATAATAATAATAGCTCACATTTATGTAGCACTTTAATATTTGCAAAATGTTTTACATACATTACTTAATATGATTCCCACAACAAACCTGTAAGGCAGGTGCTATTACCATCCCCATTTTAAGGATAAAGAAACTAAGGCTGAGAGAGAGTAAGTGATTTCCCCAGGATCACATAATAAGTATCTGATGTGGAACTAGAATCTTGGTCTTTCTGACTCCAGTTCTGGGACTCTATTCATCAGGCCTCAATAGGAAAGAATGAAGGAAGAAAAAAGAGGACAAAGGAAAGAGGGAAATGGGCAGTAAAAAAAGAAAAGAAGAAACATAATGACCCTCAGTCCTGGGTAGCCTGTTTCTGCTTTCATAACAATGGTGGCAGAAGAGCAAAAAAGTGAGGCAGAAGGTACCAAGAGTCACACAATTTTCAGACTATCTATAAATATTCACTTAAGTGCTGGTGCTCTAAATAAGTGAGATTTATCCAATAAACAAGAAGTTGCTGCAATACATTGTACTAGGGGCATTAAATGAAATCAGAATACAAAGAAGATTCAGTTACATAGAAGAGTCAGCTGAATACATTTCTACCTGGAGAAATTTCTATCAGTGAGACATGGAGATGGCCTAATCCTGCATTAAAAGGCAATGAGAAACATTTGGGACATTTGATCATCTCACCTTGGCAGAACTCATTGCAATTATAAGCAAGAAGAACACCATCAAGATAGTTGCTGTTTATGTGATCTGTTACAGAGGAAGAAGTGGAGAACTTCTGTGAAGAACTCAATATGATTCACCACACAATGTCAACATATACTTTGGTGACTTGGTGACTTCAATGTGAATGGAATATAAGAAGAGTTTAAAAAGGAAAGAAGCCAGCGCTTGAAGGCATAATAAGAACAGCAGCTATAAAATATTCTTCTCATAAATGTGGGGGGAGGGAGATAGAACTCTCTGATAAAAACACCCAGCGTGTCCTTGGGTTGAGGGGACATAAATTTAGCATACAATGGTAGTAAGGCACCAGAGGTAAGACATGGCCAGGCAACTCATAATTCTGGTACTAGAGGAACTTTTTCTCTTGGGGAACCTTCATGAAGCTCACTATTAGGCAAAGCATCCTTGTTGGCTAAGTTGTTTAGCCGAACTCCCAGAATCTACTCTTTACAGAGTGACTTTAGATTGCTAAGGAAAGAATAAGGAAGAAGCATTTATATAGCACCTACTATGAGCCTAAGTGCTTTACAAATAGTATCTAATTTAATCCTCACTACAACCTTGTGAGGTAGATGTTTATCCCTATTTTACAGTTGAGGAAATTGAGGTAGATAGAGGTTAAGTGATTTGCCCAGGGTTGCATAACTGGATTTGAACTCAGGTCTTGCTGACCCCAGGCCCAGCTCTTTATCCATTGGACCACCTGGCTACCCTAAAGCTAATCTCTCTTCTTTGCAAAGGTCCCACTCCTTAAAGTTGCATCCAGCCCAGAGTTTCTACAACTTTGTCTGTCTGTAATATGAATCTCTACTCCCTCAACTGTGGCCCAAATACCTTTTAAATGCTCAATTGGATGTCTCTGTGTTCTCTAAGCAATGAGCATTGCCTCAGACAAACTGAGACGTGTTAAGGACTGTAGCTTTAAAAGGCCATGGTCTCCCACTGCATCTGGGGCCATTTTGTGTTGTCCTGATCTATATCTGTCCACTGGACCCATATGGCTCTGGAGGAGAAAGTGAGGCTTGTGACTTTGCACAGCTCTCCCTCACTTAAATCCAATTCACTTGCAAGTCAAGGCATCAACTTTCTGAAGTCATTGGTCCTCTTCAAGAACGAAGGACAAACAAGTTCTACTGCTAGATACCATTATCAATGGAGGTATGGGGGGTGGGGGGAGGAAGAAGATCCTCTTCTTCCCTCTCTAGAGGGGAAGAAGAGGATTCTTCTCTGCGGCTTCTGCCTAGACTGCCTTCAACTGCTGATTGATAAATTTTGTCTTAACAAAACAGATTCAAAAGACTTTTTTTTAATCTCAGAAAAGCAAAAAACCTCCCACAAAATTATGACTGTGCGTTACGCATTTCTGTGCATTTTTTGTTATTTACCATTTGTTAAAAGTAGATTGTGTGCTTTAGCAAGTTAGTAATACCGAGGTTCATTCTATTTAACTGGAATTCTGTTGCCACGTAATAGTCTTCAACTAGGTAATTTTAGTTAGTTTGTACACTGTACTTTTTGTTCTTCCTTCACTCTGCGTTATTCCAAATGAGTCTTTTCTTGTTTCTTTAAATTCTTCATATTTGTCTTTCTTAAAGGATAGAAAGGAGTCTGGACCTGTGATTCATTGAACAAGGGAGCTCCAATATGAGGAAAGTCCCTCTTGTACTGCAGATCCATTTCTTTGATTCACTTTATAGCAGTGGAGAATTGTTCAGAGGTGTAAGAGGTGAGTTGCTAGCCCGGGATCCTATAACCAGGATTTGCTGCTTCTGAGGCAGCTTTCTCTAACCCCTCCACAGTGCTGCTTCTCTTGTCAATCTTTACTACATATAAATAATACTCCGTTATCTTCATAAGCAACCATTTGGTCAGCCTTTCTGTAATCATTGGGCACATACTTTGTTTCCAACTTTTTGGAAAAACAACTAGAGCTGCTGCAAATATTTTTGTGTATATAGGTTTTTTCTGTCTGTCAAAAATTCCTTTTGATGGGTCAGCTAGGTGGCACAGTGGATAGCTTCAGCCTTGAAGTCAGGAAGACCTGAGTTCAAATCTGGCCTCAGACACTTGACACTTAACTATCTGTGTGCCCTAGGCAAGTCATTTACCCCCATTGTCTCATGGGAAAAACAAAAAAAAAGCCTTTTGTTGTTCAGTCCTTTCAGTCCTGTCTGACTCTTCATGACCCCATTTGGGATTTTCTTAGCAGATACTAGAGTGGTTTGCCATTTCCTTCTCCAGCTCATTTTATAGATGAGGAAATTGAGGCAAATAGGGTTAAGTGACTTGACCAGGGTCACACAGCTTATAAGTGTCTGAGGCCAGACTTGAACTCAGAAAGACGAGTCTTCCTGATTCCAGTCTGGTTCAGCACTCTATCCACTCTACCACCATCAAAGCCTATTTAGAACATAAATCTAAAAACAGAATCACTAACTGTACATGTTCATAATGGGTTTTGTTTTTCTTTAGGTCTCAATGGCATGATAAGGAAAGGAAGGAGTTGTGTGAACCTGGGTAGGTCACTTAACCGTGATTGCCTCACCAAAAAGCAATAAAAAAAAAAGGAAAGGAAGGAGTTGGTATGGGAGAGTAAGAAAGTGGATTTTTGATGATTAAATATATATATATATATATATATATATATATATATATATATATAATTTTAAAAACAAAAAAATGGAATCATTGGGTCAAAGATTATGAACATTGTCAGTTTTCACATTTCCATCTTGTTTTCCAAAATAGTGTGACTGATTAACAGCTCAGCTAACAGTGAATGAGTATGTCTATTTTGCTGTAGTACCACTAACACTGAATTTTTTCATCTCTTATCAACTATACCAATTTGGTAGCTCTTAAATGATACCTAAGAGTTGTTTTAACTTCCATTTCTTTAATCGGCTATTTCGAACATTTTTTTCAAATGGGGGTTTTTCATTTCTCTAGGTTACCCTCTCTCTTCACCATTACTTGAGAAAGTTCCAGCAATACTAACTTTCAGTAACACAAGAGAACAAAATTCCAGTGTCCTGCTTCTACCAAGAGTGCTGTTATGACTATTCGGGTGTATGTGGAAACTTCCCATCTGTCTTCAGCTTATTTGAAATATATACCCGGTAGCAGGATCATCAGGCCAAAGGGTGAGGAGAGAAACAAATGTTTATTAAGCTGTGTGCCTGGCACTGTGCTAAGTACTTTACAAATACTCTCTCATTTGGTCCTTTTAACACCACAAGGTAGGTGCTGTTATCATCCCCATTTTACAGTTGAGGAACCTGAGGCAGATAGAGTAAAGTGACTCACCCAGGGTCATATAGCTCGTAAGTGTCTGAGGTAGGATTTGAACCCAAGTCTTCCTGACTTGCACTGTATGCACTTCACCACCTGGCTGCCTCTAGGCAATTTGGTCACTTTTCTTGTATAATTGCAAATTGTTATGCAGAACCTGGGAAGATTTAAATTAACTGATACCAAGTGAAAGAAGTAGAACCAACAGCACAATATTCCAAATGACTACAATACTATAAATGAAAAGACCCCCCCAAAAAAAGGTTAACTATAATCACTGAAAAGTCAATGTCAGTCCTAGAGAACAAATAATAAAATCTGACTCCTCCATGCCCCTCCCCAACCCAAACCCCTGCCAGAAAGATGGTCACCTTCCTGACATGCACCCATACACTCTTCCCTCTGCTTCTGACCCAGCCCCTGCTAGGAGGACCAGAATTTAAGACTACCTCAGAAGACCAATCAACTTTTTGTGTCGATAGATATGCCAAGTCCTTCTAGCTGCTCTCCTGGGGTCCCACAATCCTGATAAGTGAGAATTCACCATATTTAAGTGCTCTCAGACCTGTTGTGAGACACTCTAGCCATTTTCTTGTATGCTCATCCCTTCCTCACTTTCTATCTCTTGTTCTGGAAACAGTGGAATGGGAGGATTGGCCAATGAGCGTGCTTAGATTTGCCCTGGGATATACAGAGAATGCATGATAATCCTTGCCTGGTTCCATGCCAGTACATGGAGGCTGGTTAGGGACCGGGGGGCTGGTGCTGCATGGTGACAAATATTCTTCAGTTCTCAGAAGGACTGATGGCTGAAGAGGCCAATGGATGAGAAGGTTCAGTTAGGCTGGCTCCTTAGACAATGTGGTGTTTTCACTGATGGATCAAGCCAGAACTAAGTTCACATGCAAAAAGGTTGATATCACAAAGCATAGCCCCTTTTTTCCTAGTATGGCATGAAGTAACAGCTTCTGGGAGGTGGGGTAAGGATGAGTTTGGGAGATGGGGGAGTGGTCACTTTTTAATCTATGCGGCTTCCAGGTATTCACATGGCTCTAAATGCCTGGTGCCTCTCTTTTGTTTTCTCTGGGATTATTTCCTGATCTTAAGTGAATGATTATCCCAGAGAGAATGGATTGACCCATCATCTGAAATACCAGATCCAGCAAGAAGCTGGATCAAGGGAGTTGCTGTGTAAGAGAACAACTCATCCATCAGCTATGCCACACCCAGAAGTGAATTTGGCAGGGTCCCGGCAAAGGGAAAAAAGGAATCCTAGGCTCAATTCATGTCAACACGTCGATCACCAACACGTCGATCACTATTAGGGAATACACCAGGTGGGGGCTTATGAATGATGGAATTAGAAGCCAGAGCCCTTCAGAGTTACCTCCATGTGAGAGATGATCTCTCAGAAGGGAAGCCTCCTCAAAGGGTCAATAGTTCTTGTTAATGTTTCTTGATTGTTGTTTTCAAAACCTTCCCCCACTCAGACCCTGTTCTTAAGTACTTAGCAGAAAGAATAGCCCTGCCCCCAACCTGAACTGCTTGCCCTTGAAAAACTTCCCGCTTTTTCTTGTCTCTGGGCAAATGTGTGTCTCCACGAATAGATTGTACCCCATGAAAGCCCAGCCAATGGGATGAGGGGAAGGGGGTTAGGGAGGAGGAGCTCGAGTTAGGGTATAAATAAGCCTTGATTTCTGTAAGGAAATCGTACTCTCCTGGCCAGCAATGGTGACTAGGGGCAGTACTCTTTCTCATGAGAAAGCAATAAACTCCTTCCTACCTTCAAGATATCTGAGTCTTTGTTTTTTTATTTTTGAGTAAGTGGTCTCTGTCCCACACATCCAGAACCTAAAAGGGAGATATGGTCATTGTTCTCTGGGGAACCTAATCTGCTAGTCTAGTTAGAATAGGGAGAATGAGCCCATTTCTGATAGAAATCAAATCAGCCCTACTATTTCAGAGAAAGGACATATCAATCAATTGCTCTATGACCCCACTTACCATCCCTTTGACTTTCAGATCAAAACATCCTTCTCTGACCAGTACTCCCCAATTGGTGATATTTTCTCCTATTAGAATGTCAGATCTTTGAGGGGAAAATCTTTGGATCAGATTTTGGATGTCAGATTTTACCAAAGATTTTAATGTAAATAATTTTTTCCCAGTATGCACCCTTTTCTTCATATTCTGGCCTCATTGCTTTCCTGCAAAAACTTCAGATTTATAGATTCGATTAAATTCTACAAGTACCCACTATATTCAAAGCACAATGATAGGGATATAAAGACAAAGTGAAAAAAAATTCTCTGCCCTCAAGGAGTTTATATTCCACTATGGAGATATGGGGATCAAGATCATCTCTTTCCTGAGCTTTAGGTCTGAATTGCCAAGGGCTTTGAAACTGTCAGGATTCCCACCCCAAGACCACTCCTCTTTTTACTCATTTCTTTTCTTACTATTAAAAGACACCTTATTTTCCAAAGCTAAGGCCTAGCAAGCAAGCTATGCCCTCAGCTTAGCATAACAACAATCCTTTATGCTCCCCCTCTGGATGAACTCTGCTGAAGCTAAATCATAGAATTGGATCAAACCAGCCCAGGTGGTGGTCCCTGGGTTTGGACAATCACTGGCAGGAACCATATTCTGGTTATGAAGCCCTGCCACGAATAGACTTTTTGTCACTAGGCAAACTTGTCCCTTTGTTGCTGTTATACCTCACTGCCTGGTTCTTTGCCTAGCCACAACTGTATGTGTCAAGGCTTAGCCTCGCTGTCTTGGGTCTCCTCCTAGAGGAGACCCCAGCACATTTGTCTGGTTTACCTCCTCCAATGGAATAAAGAATGCCTTTTGCTTATAACTCTATGAGCTCTTTGGCTTTATTTTATTTTTCAGAGTTAACAGTTGGTGTACAACCTCTGTGAGCTCTTTGGTATTTTCAGAATTGATGGTTGTTGTATAACCTCTGTGACTCTTTGGTCATTTATTTTCAGAGTTTGACTGGAGGTATTAGGTCCGCCTCACCAATATATTTCAAGGAGAAGCTGAATGACTACTTTGGGAGTATATTGTAGAGGAATTCTTGGTCAGGCACTGATTGGAATAAATGACTCCTGGTGTTCTTTCCAGCTCCTGAAGCTGGATTCTTCGAGCAGTCTAAATTCAGAGAGGTCATCACAGGGGGCTCGGGCACCAGGAGATAACATTTAGGGAGGGGGACACAACATAAAGGTATTATGCTCTGTGCCATTAGGGGCAGTCACTATTTCTATCCTTATTCTGTTATTAAAGAGAGTAGCCTCACTGACGAAATCCTGAATTTTTTAAATAATTAAATTATTGCTCATACCTGTAGTTGCAGACCACTATTTTTGCATGAGGCTACTCTTAGCAAAATAACATGTTGTCATTTCCAGAGTATATAAAAAGCCTAAGTTAAGGGAGCTACTAGCTGTTTGCCACAGAGTCCGGTGAGGGAGGAGGAAATGTAGTCAGCTTTCACTATTCACTCCTTATCACATTTGTCTTATCACATCCCCACTGACATTGTCAACTCCCTTCTTCTCTGTAGGTTTTTGTGACACTGCTCTTTCCTGGTTCACCTCCTACCTGTCTACCAATTCTTTCTTTGATTTCTTTCCTGTATCTTTACCCACATCATGCTCATTAACCATTAGGGGTCCCCCAAGGCTCTGTCCTGGGCTCTCTTCTCTCTAGACACTATCTCACTTGGTGATTTCATCACATCCCATGGTTTAAATTATCATTTCTATGCAGATGATTCTCAGATCTACATGTCCAGCCTTCAACTCTCTTCTGACCTCCATTCTTACATCTCCAACTGCCTATTGACATCTGTCTGTTCAATAGATATCTTAAATTAGACATGTCCAAAACTGAATTTTTTTCATCAAACTCATTTTTCATTTCATCAAACTCATTATTTTACATACCTTCCCCTCCATCCTGCTCAACCTTTCCTTTTTACTCATTTTCCTATAACTGATAAGGGTACTACTACTACTACTACTACTACTACTACTACTACTACTACTACTACTATTACTACTTTTTGTTCAGTTGTTTTTCAGTCATGTCTAACTCTTCATAACCCCATTTGAGGTTTTCTTGGCAAAGACTCTGGGGTGGTTTGCCATTTCCTTCTCCAGCTCATTTTACAAATGAGGAAACTGAGGCAAACAGGATTAAGTGACTTGCCCAGGGTCACACAGCTAATAAATGTCTGAGGCCACATTTGAACTCAGGAAGAGGAGTCTTGCTAACTCCAGGCCAAGCATTCTAACCAATGTGCTACCTTAGCTGACTTAAATAATGAAAATGATGATGATGATAATGATAATAATAGCTAGAATTAATATAGCACTTTAAGATTTGCAAAGTGCTTTACAAATTTTATCTCCTTTGATCCTCATAATAACAAACCTAAGAGGTAGATACTGTTATGTCCCCTTTTTTACAGATGAGGAAACTGAAGCAGACTTAAGTGATTTGCCCAGGGTTATACAGTGTCTGAGGCCAGATCTGAACTCAGGTCTTCCTGACTCTGAGTGCAGCACTGTGTCCACTGAGCTCATAACCTAAATGTCATCCTGGATTCCTCACTCTTGCCTCCATGTCCAATATATTGCCAAGATGTATGAATTCTATCTTCCCAACATCTCTTATATAATATGCCTCCTTCTCCAATGTGATGCCGTCACTACCCTGATTCAGGCTGGCATCACCTCGTATCTAGATTATTACAATAACCTCCTCATTGGTATCCCTGAGTAAGTATCTCTCCACTCTGGTCCATCCACCATTCAGCTGTCAAATTGATCTTCCTTAAGTGCAGGTGTGACTGTGTCACCCCTCCCCCATTCAATAAACTCTAGGGGCTCCCTATTGCCTCCAAGATCAAATATAAGATCTTCTGTTTGGCTTTTAAAGCCCTTCATAACCTGGCCCCTTCCTACCTTTCTTGTCTTTTTACACCTCACTTCCTCCCCTCCACTTACTCTGTGATCCAGTGATGCTGACCTTCTTGGTCTTCCAAGCACAGGAAACTCTGTATCTCATTTCCAGTCTTTTCATTGACTCCCTGTTCCCTGTGCTTGGAATGCTTCCCCTCCTCATCTCCAATTCCTGGCTTCCCTGGCTTTCTCTAAATCTCAGCTAAAGTTCCATCTCCCACAAGAAGAAGCTTTCCTTAGTACTCCTAAATGGTATTACCTTCCCACCAATTTACTTGCATATATCTTAGATGTATGTAGCTGTTTGGATGCTGGCTTTCCTCTTAAGACTGTGAGCTTTTTGAGAGCAATGACTACTGCCTTTTGTCTTTCTTTGTGTCCCCAACACTTAGTAGGTACTTCAAAAATGCTAGGGTAGTACACTAACAGTGTACTACACAAATCAAGTAATTATAACTCAACTGCCTCTTGCTTTATTCCATCATCAAGTAAGAATAATGGAATCAAAGGATGGTCAGTTGGTCAGTCAGCCAGACTTTATTAAGCTAACCTACCTGAGAGAAAACCAATGTCCAGAGAGGCTAAGTCCCTTGCTCATCAACAGCAGGTTGGTGGCAGAATTCAGACTAGAACCCATGTCTCCCAAATCAACTTCCAGGCATCCTTTCCCTGAACCACGATAGACTTTGGCCACTTGTGGCAAACACTCATTTGACCTCAAGGAATTTAATAATAATAATAAAAACCTTTCCTTTAATCCCAGGTGAATTTTTAATCACTCAGAGGTCTGATGGTTAGAAGAAAATTCTTCTCCCTTAAGACCAGAAAATTTTATTTTAGGTATTATTTCTTTTTCTTTAAGAATCTCACTGAAATTGGTATTCCTTTCATGTCCCTTATAATGGAAATGTAAGAATTACAACCTATCCTTCACATCACTGAGACAGAGAGAAGGCAAACTGTGGAGCCCTACTGAGTAGGGCAGAGGCAGAAGTTTCCATAGCTCCACTGAGGCTAACACAATTACGTACACAGTTTCTTAACCCCTAATACACTGACAAGAATGGATGGAGAGTTAACATTAAGAAGGCAGAGTCTTAGCTAGAAGCCTATTCCAAATGAATTCATCTCCCAGGATCATGCAGAATTGTTTGGAGAATGGAGAGGGACCTCAAAGTCTATCTAGTCCTACCCCCAACTCCCCCAAGAGGTCCCCCACTTCAATATGCTCAACAACTGTCTGTCCAACCTTGGTTGGAGAATTCCATTGAGGGGGAGCCTGTTCTCCCCTGAGGCAGCCCATTCTACTTTGGAATAAAAGCTCCAATTATCAGGAAATTTTTCTAGACATCCAGCCTAGTCCTCTTTGTGACCCCTCCCACGGCTCCTCATTCTGTCAAAGCAGTCATGTTCCCCTTCCTTCCCAGTCTTCTCTTCACTAGGCTAAAAACCCCGAGTTCCCTCAACCAGTCTTCATGTGGCAGGG